TGCCTTACACCCGGGTGGGGGTAATGGTACAATGCTTCCGAAGAGATCTTGGCAATGCTGAGGATCCCAAACATCAAGAACAGATGCTCCTGCACCGTGCTGAAAAGTCATCTCATGAGATTTAGGATACGCCAAGGATCTCGGCAACAGCACTGCAAGCCACCATTAACAGGGTTTCAAACTTTTCTCCACAGATGTTTTCTCTCTGCAGCTGCACTTCAAAGGAAACATGGAATGCACAACACCGAATACGCAAGCTGGTTTTGCATTAGGTGCAAGGTTTGCTTTAAAGGATTCACCTTTTGACACAAATTAATAAATGCACTTTTTTTTTGAACGTAAAAAAAAAAAAATGTGCATTTATTATTTTTTGTTGAAGGAGCCTGTAAAGCATTGCACCAGCGATCAGCAGATCGCTGGTGCCATGCAGGACCCCTGCAGACCTGTCAGTATATCTGCTTGCCCATATGGGATGTACAGGCAAGCAGATATACTGACAGGATTATTCAATGAACTACCATGGCACTCCACAGCGTCGTGGTAGTTCATTGAGAACTACAAGCCAACAGCCACTAAGGCTGTCGTGACTTATAGCACATTCAGTCACAGAACTCTGTGAATGCATGGCTGTGCTGATTTAAAAAAACTGACAGCTAGTATGGGGAACCGTACTGCTGTCATAAGGAGCTGGAGGGATCAGGCGGCGGCTGCAGCATTGGGAACAGGTTACATGTTCCATCCTAAAAACGGGTGAAACATGTAACATGTTCACAAAGGTGAACTTATCCTTTAAAGCGGCAGTAAATGCAGAAAAATTGCCAGTCCTCCAACAAGATAATGTATTAGTATGCATCGCATACTAGCACATTATGAGAGACTTACCTTACAACAAAGCCCTCCACCGGCACGTTGTCATCGCTGACAGGACTTCCTTCGGGGTTCACAGGCTGCAGTCACTTGAATGGCCGCGCGGCAATGATGTGAGAGTCTTGGCCTCGGCACACCGCTCTGAAAGAAGGACATGGGTATGCCGTTCCTTCAGAGTGCATGCACCAGTGACGTCACCAGCAGCTACTCACTGGAATATCTCCTAAATGGTGTATATTCATTTTACCTACAAGTAAGCTTTATTATAAGTTTACCTTTACGTAAAAATAGAAGGCTGACAAACATGGCTGGTTATTACAGAATGCATGGATGACCACCTTCTGTCCAAAGGGCAGTTTGCACCAATAATGAATCCAGTGACACCTACAGAATGAGAAGGTTAGCAAAGTTGACTTCATCCACTCCACTCCTAAATTGAGTGCATACATGCCTGTGAAAAAGTATTGGGCTGCAAGTTGACTAGGGAAAAAGACTGATAAGATGGCTAGATACAGTATTTGCTTTAAACAGCACAGCTAAAAGTATTCCTAGCATGAGGCTACATTCACACTAGCACAGCATAATCAGGCAACCTTAAAGCTGATCTCCATGCTCTAATGGAGCGTCAAACATTCATTTGGACCAAGCTGGTCCAAACGAACTATTGACTTCATTAACCAATGCAGCTGCTGTGTGCACTGTATACATTGTTGCAGCACTATGTTTCGGCAGCAGAACGTGGGACTTACTGTGTAGCTCCTGCAACAAAATCAGGTCAGGCTGCTCAGCCATTTACTAGCCTCTTTCTATGGATGAATACAAAGCTTCCTCTGACTGGATCAGAGATCATGACATCATCCACCTGCCTCTCCACCTCAGCCAATTAGAGAAAGTTTTATATTCAGAGAATGCAAAGCTCCCAATGAATGGCTGAGCAGAACTCAGCCTGACTCAACCTTTTCCAGGAACTGGAGGGGGATTTCCCTATAATGGACACAACGCTGTATACTGTATGTAGCTGGGGCTACATTCAGTTCAGAGATGCAGCAGCTGTGTGCGCGTTATTAGTGAAGCGTGGCCCAAACAAGCCATTTAAACTTCACTAGAACATGGAGATCAGCTTTAAAGGCTACGTCCACATTTTCCAAAAATAATAAATGCACATATATTTGCATAAAAAGATGAGCTTTTATCTTTTTTTGCAAATGAACCTGCAAACTACTGCAACGGTTAGTAATGCACCGATATAAAACTATTGGTCAAAAATAGGGTTATCAGCATTTTGCCGAAAAAAAAACATTGCGGCCCATTGACTTCAATGCAAAATCGCCTCTATTTAAGTTTTTTTTAATTTTATATACATTTCATTTTCTGTCTTAATGTTGTGTGTTACTTTCAATAAAAATTATTTTACGTTCCTGATTGTATTTTTTAAATTCATATTCATTTAAATAAAAAGTTGAATATAATACAATTGTATAGAAAAAAAAATAATTTATTTAAAAAAACCGTCCGCTTCCGTTTCTGTTTTAAGCCAAGTGCATCCTGAATTTTAGATTTCGGTGCATCACTGGCAACGGTGATTGCAAATGCAATGCTAGGAGCATGCAGACTTCCTCCAGCTCTATGTCCGTACTGATGAACAGGATATCAAAGAGCTGGAGGAAGTGTAAAACTACAACAAATATGGCAATCACCATACTTTTTTTCCATTGAGAACTACAAGTCCGTCTGCTGCAGTGGCAGACAAGACTTGTAGTTTATTCAACCGCCCACACCAATTTGAACTCTGAGAGGTGCTGTAGGAAAAAAAATATCCCTGGCATGGTGTCAGGGGGGTGGCCATTTTGGGGTTGTGGGGGAGCCTGCTTGGCATCATTTTACACACCAAAGTATGGGTGTGACACGTAATATTGTCTTGAAAGTGGAGTTAGCCTTTAGAAGTTCGAAGTACAAAATTATCAGATGTGAATGGGGCATAAAAGCAAAGAAAATAAATGAGAGCATTACAGGCATAAGCAGCACAGCATATATAATAGCAAACACAACTGCTATTGAATCAAAGGCAACATGGAGCGATTATATGGGCGCCCATGCAGGGCCGTGTTTTTTCGGCATGGGGATGCACAGGTGTTAAGTGCATCTCCATGCCGGCAGTCCCATTGTTGGCTACTGGGGTGCAGCGGCTGCATGGACACAGCCTCTGTTCCCAATATGACATATGTACGGGTGCATGGCCCCAAATGCACCCTGGATGAGTTCGGGGACAAAACTGCATAGATGTCATTATGGGAGCCAGCACATGTGCCCGTGCAGTCCCTGCATCCCAAGAGATAAGAATTTAGACTGCCAGCACAGGGATATACGCATATAATCAACCCGTGTGAACAAGGCCAATATCTTTCAGAGTACACATATTGGATAGTTCCCACAATTCCCACAGAACTGGCATCACAACACCCATCATCCCATGACAAAATTATTTTTACAGGTCTGCTCTGTCCACCCAACTGTACTGGAATCATTACACCTAACCTAACATACCATGGAACAGCACATCCTAATGTTCTCCCACACTCCACAAAATACAGGGATCATTACACCTATCACCCTCTGGGTAGATGCATGACACATACTAGCAACAATGCACCCGTAATCCCAAGACCAGACACAGAACATGTATTGAACAGATCCCACACACCTACAACCCCATAGCATTGGCATCATTAGACTTATCCCACAAATACAGAACACACATTGACATCTTAACACCCATCACTGTATGGCTGGCTCCAACACTGCCCATAGTATGGGCATCATTACACTCACCACCCCATTACCGGAAGCAGAATGCTTAATGGTATCAGAACACCCATCATCTATGTTCTCCCACACTCCCCATTACTTCTACCATCCCATAGCCTAAAAGGACACATACTAGCCAGCTCTCATACTCCCCACTGCATCAGAACACCCATCATCCCAATGCCTCCCACACTCCCCACAGTACTTGAATTATCCCATGGTCAAACACAAAAGATGTACTGGTTAGCTCTCCCCTCCTACCAATAGTAATGACATAACACCTACTATCCCATGGCTGGACTAAGAACACGGGACACATTATTTACGTAAATATACTAATATTTCATATTCTCCCGAAAGTACTAACATTACACCTCTCATCCCATGGCTGGACACATACTGGTCAGCTCCCACACTTTCCATAGTATCATTAGCCCCCTCATCCTATAGACTCGTATACCCTCCATAGTACCAATACACCCCATCATTTCATGGACTCCACTATCCCCATAGTACATTATATCCATTATGTCACGACCTCCCCACACTTCTCATAGTACCATTACCCCCATCACCCCACAGAGTACCATTACACCCATCACCCCCAGAGTACCATTACACCCATCACCCCCAGAGTACCATTACACCCATCACCTCCCACATGGTACCATTATACTCAATATGTCATGGCCTCCCACACTTCTGATGTCACATTGCACCAATCATACCCTGTAGTACCATCACACATGATATCATTTACACCCAATAGCCTCCCTCACTTGCCATGGCATCATTACACCCATCACCCCTCATAGTACCTTTACACCCCTCACCCCATGCCCTAACACAGGACAGACAGTACTGACCAGAATTTAGCTAACACTCTATGTTCTCCCACATCATCACACCTCTCATCCCATGGCTGCACACGTACATATTACACCCATCATCCTGTGGACTCCACCACCCCACAGTACCATTACATTCATTATTGCCATGGCCTCCCATAGTATGATTACACCCATCAACCCCCATAGTACCTGTCCATTCATCCCCCCCATTGGTCGGTCACACAAGGTGAGCCATAGCCAGAAGGTGTCAGTCCCCCTATGCCCTGCATGAAGTGATGAGGAAGATACAGGCAGTGACAAGTCGGCGGCCAAACAAGCCACAGCTCCAGAGTCGGTAACGAATTCCGGGGTGAGACAACAGAAGGGAGCCCCCAGCGGTCACTCCCATCCTCCTCCCCCGTACCCGGTGCTGCTGCTGACCAGAAGGGCCTCTCCCAGAATAGCCCCAAGTCCACCATCCCTGACAGGCACTCTCACCGCTGTCTCCGATGATAAGAAGCTTGAAGAGATGGTCGTAATCCCGGGCCATGGCAATGGCGGCCTGTGCAGTGAGTGGGCCGGGTCCCGGGATCCGCGCTTTCAGTTCCGACCGAATCCGCTTCCCGGACAAACAGCCGGAAGTGACAGCGAGACCGCGCGGACAAGCGCATGCGCATACCCCGCCCACAGGCGCCCCACCTGTGTGCGCGCTCTGGGCGGTTCCCGTCAAGAGGCTTGGGAGCGAGCGTTGTGTGGTCAGACACCATTTTGTGTCCTGCCGGTTGTGCGGTTAGTTGTGTTTTTACCGGCTTGTTCACTGGCGGTGTCTTCTACGGTGTCCGTAGGATGTCCACATTTCCTCAGTATAATACTAGTACTCTCCTTCTGAGCAGGAGAGGTAACACTGGGCTCAGGCCGGGGGGAGCTCTGATTTGTTTTTCAGCTTTCGCCTGAGGACAGCAGGAAAAGGACGTGGTGACAAAACCTGTCCCCAAAGGCGGGCTTGTCTTCATACTGCACCTTGTAAAGCTCTGGTCTCTAAGTCCCCCCAATGTACTAAGATGTGAGCGTTAAAGAGACCCTGTCACCAACCTACAAAATTGGATGTGAAAAGCACAGAGAAGTGTGCCATTCTAATGGCTTGCTTGCAGTGTTGCACTTCCATAATTCTTTTCCATTTACTTGCAATGTGATTGTGATCTTTCTAGCAAATGTGGCTATTTCAGAGAGTCAGTTCGCTAGCACAGCCCCCTTGTAGTCACAGCTCTTTTTTTTTTTTTTTTTTTTCTTTCTGAGAGTGGCTTATTGCTTTTGTGCTGGCCCAGCTCCTTCACCCCTCCTTTCACCATCCCACATAACTTTCTATGAAGCCGATGTACTCTAGAGCAGCTTTTTTTCAACCAGGGTGGTTATATTCAGGGGTGCCTTGGTAAAATGCTTAATGCAGGCCATAGTCGGGTCGAAAATCGGTTGATTTTTGCACCGTTAATTGGTCGCCCATTTTTCGAGGTTTTGGCAAAAAAAATGGCTGATTTTGCCGATCGGCCGATTTTCCCAGCAATGATGGGCAAATCGTCCGATCGTTTTACCGATAAAAAATCTGCGCATGAGCCGTGTCCTGCAAGAAGAATAAGAATTCCAGTCTGCTATTATTATTTGACATGAAAAAGTCTTGCGGTTGCAACAATGTATCTATTTGTATCTGAATAAAAACATCTGTATCCAAAATGGATACAAATAGATACAATGTTGCAACTGCAAGACTTTTTCATGTCAAATATAATAGCGGAGCTCTGCAGGGACAGAAGTAATTAAATGCCAGCCGAGATTGGGACGAAAATAGGCGGTTTTTTTTTTTGGTTTTTTTTTTTTTTTTTTTAAACGGACAGTTTTCGACCCGTCTATGGCCTGCATAAGAGTCCTTTCACACGGAGCAGATCCTTTTGCTCAGGGGGGTATCTCTCCGCTGATCCCCCCCCCCGAGCAAGTGGATAACAGGTCTATGTCCATTCCACTGCTGCAGAGTGGACTCAGAGCAGCTGGCTCTCAATGGGCAGTCAGATGAGAATGGACCACCTGTTTCCACCCAACACGATCTGACGGATTGGAAGAGGAATCGGTCCCCCATCCGTCCCTTTTTTGCAGGTCGGATTGGATGTCGGTGGGTGTAAATGGACACATATCTGTTTACACCCGCAGCTCCATAGAGGAGAATGGAGGTTCCGATCGGATCCACCTGAAAATCAGGCAGGTGGACCTGATCTGAACGTCCATGTGAAAGAGGCTTAAAATGGCACATGAGCTAGCAGATGGACCAGCCTGCCTTTTAGTGACACAAAGCCAGAGGTTTTCATTGTGCACTACTACAACCTTCTAACCGCCAGTGTCCTAACAACCAATGATGTCACGGTTGATATGGAGGACGTTTGGCGCATCCTTGTTTGCCACTCACCATCAGTACTGGGGTCACATTACCTGAGTGAGGAAAAGAAACTGAGGCGGAAGAGAAACATTGGAACACTAGTCTGTACCTGTGTGCAAAGGTATAATTGCTTTGGAAGAATAAATGACCTCTAATATTGGGTGTCCTACACATGAGGATGTTGCTGTGTTATACATAACTGTACGTTTAATATTTTACATTTTAGAATGGGGTGTCTCAGGATTGTGCAGAATTTTAATGGATGACTTGACTGAAAAGAGGTTGAGAAACACTGCTATAGAGCAAGGATCTACCCAACGATCATGCCATGCCGTGTAGCGGCAAGATCTGTCTCCCCATGTAGATGTGTCTCCCTGAAGCAACTGCACATGTCACGATTTTCGGCATAAGAAGCCGATCGCCGATCACCATCTGTAGCACAGGGCTTCAAGATTTAACCCCGTTTAGGCTGCCCCGCTGATGGCACTTAAACGCACCGCTCAAGTTGATCCCGCGGATCAATAGCCGCCACCGACGCTCCCGCATACTTCAACAAAGATACATGGTCAGATACAGCAGTTTAGTAATTGATTGATTGTGCCTGAAACAGGGACATGCGCAGTTGCTTCAAGGGGGACAGATCTTCATGGGAGACATCTTGCCGCTACACCGGCACTAACCAAAAGTGCTTCCATTCCTTATATTCAGAGCAGCACAGGGAAGTGGCTGTTACTATTTAATTATTCATTTCTATTTGCACTGGAGCTGTTCCCACTATCCTGCTCACATTTGTGTCACATACAGTTGCTTGAGATGGATGCGAGAGGAGGATTGAGGGGAGCAGCGCAAGAACAAGCAGTATTAAATATCTTGCAGGCGCTTCCCTGAGCTGCTCTGCATATAAAGAGGGGATGCAATTCTGAGGCGAGTTGGCTCTCATTACTGACAGCTGCACACTGTATTACTTACAACTGACCTCTGCACACCTCATTATTTATTTCTGACCTTAGCACACACACCACCACATTACTTGTTAACGGCCAGTTCACACTAGAACGTAGTTCAGGAAACCCACATTCCGTGCATGTTTCCTGCACAAAATGCACTGCACTTGTGATCTGCAGCGGGTGACACCCCAAACACAGTGCATTTGCCTGCACTTGATTGCATGGTACAAAACTACCATGTGATCTGTTTGCTCTGCGTATTGTAAAGTAGTGCATGCACTATTCTTGCTGCATTCACTAGACAATCCAGCGTGATTTCATCCTATTCAAATGAATGGGCTGAAATCACACTGCTCCCAGATCGCATATGAATCACCCAGGAACGCACGTGTATGTGTGAACCAGTCATTATGACCTACAGTCATGTCCATAAATATTGGGACTTTGACACAATTCTAACATTTTTGGCTCTATACACCGCCACAATGGATTTGAAATGAAACGAACAAGATGTGCTTTAAATGCAGACTGTCAGCTTTAATTTTAGGGTATTTACATCCAAATCAGGTGAATGGTGTAGGAATTACAACAGTTTGCATATGTGCCTCCCACTTGTTAAGGGACCAAAAGTAATGGGACAATTGGCTTCTCAGCTGTTCCATGGCCAGGTGTGTGTTATTCCCTCATTATCCCAATTACAATGAGCAAATAAAAGGTCCAGAGATCATTTCAAGTGTGCTATTTGCATTTGGAATCTGTTGCTGTCAACTCTCAAGATGAGATCCAAAGAACTGTCACTATCAATGAAGCAAGCGATCATTAGGCTGAAAAAACAAAACAAACCCATCAGAGAGATAGCAAAAACATTAGGCGTGGCCAAAACAACTGTTTGGAACATTCTTAAAAAGAAGGAACGCACCGGAGAGCTCAGCAACACCAAAAGACCTGGAAGACCACGGAAAACAACTGTGGTGGATGACCGAAGAATTCTTTCCCTGGTGAAGAAAACACCCTTCACAACAGTTGGCCAGATCAAGAACACTCTCCAGGAGGTACAGTTGTGTCCAAAATTATTCAACCCCCACTGAAATTGAGTGTTTTGGCCAGTTTGACATTGCTTTTGATCATTCAGTCATCTCTGCTTACATTTACATTAAAGAGGCACTTGTAGGTCAGACAAATATAACATAACAGTTATAATGAAATAACCACAAATGTCTTTTCTGTGCTCACAGCATTATCAGTTTTATTCAACCCCCAAGTGACATTCAATCTTAGTACTTAGTACAGCATCCTTTTTTACAGTTATAACAGCTTTTAAACGTGAAGCATAGCTTGACACAAGTGTCTTGCAGCGATCTACGGGTATCTTCGCCCATTCTTCATGGGCAAAGGCCTCCAGTTCAGTCACATTCTTAGGCTTGCGCACTGCAACTGCTTTCTTTAAGTCCCACCAGAGGTTCTCAATCGGATTTAAGTCTGGTGACTGCGATGGCCACTCCAAAATGTTCCAGCCTTTCCTCTGCAACCATGCTCTAGTGGACTTGGAGGTATGCTTGGGATCATTGTCCTGTTGAAAGGTCCAACGTCTCCCAAGCCTCAGGTGTGTGACGGACTGCATCACGTTTCCATCCAATATCTCCTGGTACTGAAGAGAATTCATGGTACCTTGCACACGCTGAAGCTTCCCTGTACCTGCAGAAGCAAAACAGCCCCAAAGCATGATTGACCCTCCACCATGCTTCACAGTAGGCAAGGTGTTCTTTTCATCATAGGCCTTGTTCTTCCTCCTCCAAACATAGCGTTGATCCATGGGCCCAAACAGTTCTAATTTTGTTTCATCAGTCCACAGAACACTATCCCACAACTTTTGTGGTTTGTCCACATGGCTTTTGGCATACTGCAGTCGACTCTTCTTATTCTTTGGAGACAGCAAGGGGGTACGCCTGGGAGTTCTGGCACGGAGGCCTTCATTACGCAGTGTGCGTCTTATTGTCTGGGCTGAAACTTCTGTACCCACATCTGACAAATCTTTTCTCAGTTCCTCAGCAGTCACACGGGGACTTCTCTCCACTCTACGCTTCAGGTAGCGCACAGCAGTCGAAGTCAGCATCTTCTTTCTGCCACGACCAGGTAGCGTTTCAACAGTGCCTTTGCCTTGAATTTGCGAATGATGCTTCC